AGTTTTTAAGACTGAAGTCACCTGAACGAAATTTGCTGAACCATCGTTGACACTTACGAACGTTCAAAACATTTCCATAAACTTCTTTGATATTCTTTATGGCTACATAGGCGTTATTTCACTTCTTGTATTCAAACAGCATTACATGCCAAATCTGTGTCTCGTAGTGTGCCATCATTATAAGGGATAAGAGTATACTAAACTTTACACGTTATATAGGCTGCACTAACGTGACGTTTAGGCAGTTCGTTTAATTATTATACGTTTTTTACGGGGTGGTTAATGAAAGTGTTCCAAAACGTGACAATAATTTCTTGACGACCTAATATATATAACATGATAAAGTTAGAACAATATTAAGTTGTTTGTAAGTTGTTGAGAGAGGGAAGTAGAGGTTTAATTAGTAAATGAACCATCCTTCTCAGTACGCTATATTGGGATAAAAAAAAATTTGATAATTAAACATTTTTTTTCCTTCTCTCAACAAAATGCAATTTTCATATGACTTTAAAACCGTTCTAATTTTGCTTTTTATCTGTAAACATATGATGAAAGTCTTGTTATTCCGAAACGTTTATGACAAACGTATTTTGTGCCCTTTCGTTCGCATTTTGTTTTGTGATAAAACTACTTCTGCCGCCTAGTAAATCAGTTTGGATGTTGGAAAATAAATCAACAAAAGTTTTTATAATATAACAATTTACTTTTAGATCACGTTTGGAGATTTTCGAAATGATATTTGCTTAATACAAAGCTACATAATGGGATATCTGCTACATAATGGGATATCTGCTACATAATGAGATATCTGCTACATAATGGGATAGCTGTTACATAATGAGATATCTGCTACATAATGGGATATCTGCTACATAATGAGATATCTGCTACATAATGGGATAGCTGTTACATAATGAGATATCTGCTACATAATGGGATATCTACATTTTGTTCACCGTGGAAATCGAATCCCGGTTTTTAGTGATGTAAGTTCTAAATCTTATAAGTGAGCTTTGGTAATGAAGTTCGAAGCACGCTCTGCACCATCTTGATCTTGTGTACATAAATAAATTAGCCTCGTGGTTCTTCTGGTTCGGTTTTGGTCGTTGTTAAGCGCAAGGTTACACAATGGGCTATCTGTCATCTACCCACCACGGCTAACGAAACCCGACTTTTTGTGTCGTAAGCCTGCAGACCAACCACTGAGCCACTGGGTAAGTAGGTGGATGGGGGATTCTTTTGAAGATTCTAAAGCTCCGTAGCTGTTTCATATGTTACTGCAACACGCATTTCCGTGAACTATTAAACTCGAAACTGGCCTTCGACAATCAACCAAATAATACCAAACATTTCTTTAGATATAGTAATACTACATATACAGTACCAATCGTAGTGAACATTTTGTTCAAGTGACCTTTTCATGGCAAGTTTACCCGCTGAAGTCTAGTTCCAAGGGAGAGAACAACGACTCTCCAGAGCAGACAATGACAAAACAAGGTTATCTAATCCATCCGAAACCGGTTTAATAGTTGACAAAGCAGTTGTGGATCAACGTTAAGAAGCACGTGTTTAGGCTTAGGTATCTTATTATAAAATCGTATCTTGTGCGATTATTTCGTTTAAAGAAGAGAAAAACAACAAAAACTGCAGGCTTTGAAAGTTCGTATAATATACAATAACGTATTTCAGTTTCACAAAGAGATAACATTATTTTTAGGAATATACTAATATCCCCAGGTTTCATACTATAACGTATACAAACATTTCCACGTGCATATATGATGTTATGTATATATATAAGCATTCCTAACAACTGTGCTACTATGTGTGAGATACAATCAGTAAACTCTAGTCCGAATGCAACATTAGATAACTATATTAAATAAAAATTAGACACGCACAGTCCTACATATTATACACTACGGGCGATGTAGTATCATCTAAATTACCATATAAATCGCTTTATTTATTTGCAAATTGTTTCTTCACTTCCGCATATACGAGCTGCCTGTGTTTGTCGACGATGTACTGTTGTAGTGTTTCAAAACAGTAATGAAATTTCACATACTTTACGGCAACCCCTTTTTAAATGTAACATTATGAAGTTAGCAATATAGATTGGATTTATTCCTAAGTTTAAAAAAATGTCAGCAATAAATATGCTTTCTTTATGTCATCGCTCTATCTATCTATCCATCCATCCATCTATCTTTCTAGCCAATGATCCATCTAGCTATCTATCCATCCATCTATCTATCCATCCATCCATCTATCTATCCATCCATCTATCTATCCATCCATCCATCTATCTATCCATCCATCCATCTATCTATTAATCTACCCATCCATCTATCTATATATTCATCATTATTTTAGGAAAGATTATTATATATAGTTATTGGAGCGAGATACAAAAAAATTATAAAAAACATGTTCCGCATCTTGAAACAATTAAAAATAAATTATTACTTAACTTCATTAATAGATTGAAGTCACGGATTACACTAGAAAAAAATATGGGCCTAACAAAATGGTGAATTAGAATTATTGAAAAAGACCTCGATTCAAGAATGTCGATGGTTTATTATAAATCAAAATATTGTGAAATTTCCTGTTTTTGAATAAGTTATTATTATTTTATATATATATATATTTACTTATAATTTTAATAATTTTTGTAAGATAAATAATAGTTGACGATGTGATTTAATTTTGCAAAACAACAGCTTGAATGTTTTAATAAAAGTATACAAAATTATTTCAACATTTTACAACTCTTACTTCTGAGGTTGTTGATCATATTTAAATCGTTATATTAAAATATCATCCATTTTAAATATGTAGTAGTATGTAATAAATATTTATAGATGTTACAGATAAGAGTGATAAATTGGTCATGTGAATAATGTAGTGGATGAACATGTTTTTATTTCCTTGTAAACAAAAAAAAACTGGTTGTTTGGTGTCAAACTTGTAAAAACTGGCTTGGTTGTTTTAATAAAAGTATCAAAAAAGTATTCATCTAAAGAGCTTTTAGTGTAACTCAAAATACAGTATCTAGGAAAATCTTTCTGAGTTCTGTACGGAACACATTAATTAAAAGTCTACTGTGGTCTTGAGAGTGATGTATGAAGTAAAATAGTGCGACCTTTAGGACTTTCGTGAATTTAATCCGATTTTCTCGCGGTAATCTACATGCAAGCTGTGGCGTTTACAATATTAACCAAAGAGTTTGTGTGAAATCAGTTTCTCTCGCACTGTGAACTAAGTCCTTTCGGGCATGCAAAGCAGCTAGCTACGATTTATTACTGAAAACAACCCCCTCTATAGCTACTTAACGCAGAATTTCACACTCGTTAGAGGCCTAACCTAATGTCCGCTAGAGGGCAATATGGGTAGATGGGTGTCAATGATTCCAATTAGAGTTAAAATAACCCTTGCATGAAAACATGAATTACCCTTAAAGAAATAGAGCGAAGATTGTTTTATTATATCTGGTATTATTCATTCTAAAAATACTATATATATATATATAATATTACAGATTTTTCTTTTACAAAAATTCATATGTGGTTCCCGTTACTATGTATATATATTTTTATTTCTTATGCTGCATTGTTAGGCGTAAAATGTTAATCCTAACTCCGTAATTGATTAGATGCAATACATTTATTCTTTTTATGAAACAGAAAAAAAATGCTCGGTGGTGTTTATCACATGGAACTTACAGACTGGAGAAAAGTTAGTTAACGTTCTATACAAAGCATTGAGACGTTGCAAAAGTAGAGACTTGGAAGAGTTTGTCGAACGTAAGAAAAGTATAATTAATAAGGTGTACTAGGACCTAAACTGATTTTTAGCTTCGCTGTAAGTAACTCACTCCGATCGGATTGTTTGTTTTTAATTATGCACAAAGCTACACAAGGGCTATCTGTGCCCTGCCCGTCACGAGTATCGAAACCCGGATTCTAGAGTTGTAAGTCCGCAGACATACCGCTGTGCCACTGGGGGGCCTCCGAGCGGAAGTCGTTATTACTTGTATTATCTTATAGTGTCACAGGAGATGAAAGTGATAATTCATCATAATTAATTAATAATCTTTTTTCTTTCTTTTTTTACCTGTGAGGGTTTCAAGTAATCTTACTTTGTATCTGTACAACCTCGTATTTCTATTTTCACAACAGACTCCTTCAACAACAAATACATCGTCAACAGCAGTACCACACATCCAGTGGAAGTGGAACAGCGACCAGCCAAGGTGGCCCATCTCCAGTTAGTCATCAAACCGCCAGCTCCAAGGAACGAAGGCCAACGACCGAGGAGACGGAAAGTACGAATGGAAGTTACGGCAGTTGCGGCGGGATCAGCTTTCTGCCTGGAAGTCCGGCTGTTTTGTCGACCAGCTCGGAATCCAGTTGTAGCCCTTCGCCTGTCCGTGCTCACGAAAAGTGACCATGATCAATAAATGGATGATAATATTATTTATAAATAACACTTATGTACAGTGTGGAAGAAGAAGAAACTGGTTTAATTCGTTGTTGGTTGTTCACTTTGTCAACAGGGCTGATCCTCTTCAGCCTATATATATATATATATATATAGTAAGGGAAAGAGGTGGCGTTGTTTGCATGTGAAGCTTATGCACAGTTTGTACATATAGATATATTGTATTCGACAGAACTTTTCGTGTGGTATAAAGGTGACGAAATGTTTACCAGCTCTGTACATAGTAAAGACATGTAAGCGGTTATTGCATCTTTGTCCTGTGATGTTTTTTTGTTGTTGTTTTGTTTTGTTTTCTTTGTGCATAGCACATCAGACAGAATAAAGGCTCGCTAGTTCCACATCTCGTGCCCGGTATAATTCTCGTTTCTTATCGCCAAGTGTCAATTCTACGTTAAAAATCTATCACGTGACTTGCTGACGTTTACTTGTTATTTGTTACTCTAAAAATCTGTATGTATTTTCTTAAGAACAACAAAATGAACGCTACTGAATGGACAAGATGATTTATTTTTCCACTGCTAGAAAAAAAACACAAAAAACGCGTTAAAACTAAAAAATATATAATTCAACTTTCAATAGTAAATTACTGAAGTGAGCGTTTTGTTACACATAATACACACACTTTGAAGTGAAATATACCCAACATTTCTAGGGAATTAGTTTTGTAATAAATGTCAGTGTTTGAGGCGATATATACGAAATAATGTGAGGATTAGCTTACACGTGATCCAACATCCCAGACTTCAAATAAAGTTACCATTTAATAACTCTTATTTACCAGATAAATTTCATTAAGATGTTTTCTAAACTATTATTTAGGGAAAGAGTCTTCATAAAACGTATTTCTTACCACTTAATAACTCTTATTTACCAGATAAATTTCATTAAGATGTTTTCTAAACTATTATTTAGGGCAAGAGTCTTCATAAAACGTATTTCTTACCACTTAATAACTCTTATTTACCAGATACATTTCATTAAGATGTTTTTCTAAACTATTATTTGGGGCAAGAGTCTTCATAAAACGTATTTCTTACCACTTAATATCTCTTATTTACCAGATAAATTTCATAAAGATGTTTTCTAAACTATTATTTGGGGCAAGAGTCTTCATAAAACGTATTTCTTATCATTTGAAGATACATCTGATGTTAGGAGTTGCTTCTGGCTAAATTATTTTAACCTTTTTTTTAATTACTTCTAAATATTAATCCGTTCCTCACTGAAGAGATGCAATATTTTAAATAATTAAAAAATATGTATTGGTGATGTTGTTTAAAGCTTAAAGAATGAGTTAATAATTAATTTAAAAAAAAATGTACGAGACAAGAAACGAAATGTGGAACTTACCAGTAACCCTAAGCCTAATGAGGATACTGCAATGCACCCGAAAGCTCATTACATTCCAAGTTTTTTAGACAAGAATATTACCAGTGATATGTATATTCAATGATATCTGTTATTCGTAATCCAACAATTTTTATATTTTACACCTATTTCATTTTACACTTATAATTTTGTCATCATTTAATAACATACACTTTGAAGAATATTTACAAGTGAAACTATGCTTAAGGGTCACGCACTAAACTGTAAACAAACTGATACTGTGGTAGTTTACTGGTTGATTTCTTAGCAAACCTTGGTTTCTGAGATCGTAACCTTTTGCCTTTCTGGACGAGGGGTGTAGGGGTGTCTTCTTTCACAAAGGGGTGTACAAGTTCTTCTTCTTCTTCCTCTAATTAAAACTGAAAATAAAATCATAACAGAGAGAGAGAGAAGAGAATTAGGGAGAATGATTATATTCTAGAATTTTTGAAAGTCAATCATATACCGTATTTTGTCTCGGCAGTCTTGAAAAGTAAAGTAATCGGTGTTATTTATTCATTTAGAAAGAAACACTTAATATAATAGAGAAACTGGTGGCTTTTCTGAAGCAAACACGCTTTAGGCTTAGGCCTAAAGCCGAGAAAAAGTCCTCGTATATATATATTTATAAATGTATGTAGTAACTCATTATAAACGAATTAATAAGTCGTGCGTTATACTAATGTCTAGTATGGAGTAGGTTTCTTAAATGTACAGTATTAAGTTCTGATAGAAGACTTCTACATTACAGCGAGACCTAAAATTCAATGCTGTTGTATGATGCGTTATCACAATCTGTAGTGTATAACTATTACAAAAGAATGACTTAATATCTTATGTAATAAAGAACATAAAGATATCTCCTATAAGATGGGCTTAGAATGGTTGATTCTTTTCATAATTATATGATATTACTTGAGAATGATCGCACCAGTGATAGAAACGTCGTACTATCTTATGTAATAAAGAACATAAAGATATCTCCTATAAGATGGGCTTAGAATGGTTGATTCTTTTCATAATTATATGATATTACTTGAGAATGATCGCACCAGTGATAGAAACGTCGTACCTGTTCTAAAAACAAATCTTACTTGCTGTAAAAGCTGTAACTATAATATAATATAATTAATCCGTAAGTAAACTCAAAACGAAACTATCTTTTCATAATGGTTGATAAAATCTTCACCTCAGTCAGTAGGCCTACCGTACAGCTGAGGTGACCAACTTGTACGACTGAATCTCAACTGTCGAACTGCTCTTTCACGTGCCCTGTCGTCATTTTTTTGGACTTTATAAACGTCGACTAAATGTTTTTGAAACAATTTGCCCATACACCTACTTCCTTAGCATTTAACCTAATTCACGTGTCTACGTCTCACAGCTTTAGAAAAGTTTTTTTTTTTAAGTGAATCGATAATTTTGTGTAAATTATTTGTGCAATTTTGTTTAAAAAAATGTGAGAATTTTTGCTTCTTTAAGGTTATGTGCAGTCTTTCTAAGACTCACGATCTTGGAAATTTTAGTACTGGTATAATTTTAGCAGAATCTTATGCTAAGTATAAATTAATAGCATGACTATTAAGTCCCTCTCCCTTTCAAAGGCACCAGAACAGGTGAGGCCAGACCACACCGATAGTTTGACCACATCAACTTTTCTTAGTTTACATGCAATATTTGTTACTGAACATCAGTCTTATCCGACGGTCAAGTATTCTCAATACTAGATTAGATTTAAGCAAATCAGTGGTACTGTGGCTGGTATTTGCTAATCTATGTTTTGTGTGCATTCATTGTAGGCCAAGTATTACATACACGGCTATGAACTTAAGAAACTTACAAACTGTATAAACTGAAACCCAGTATAATACTTATATACGACTCTTTATACATTTCAAGTGGCCAGCTGTAGTATATTTCTTACTCACGTATATTGCTGCTTGTATCAGAAGTTGTAATAGACAGTAAGCATGCGCAGTGAAACGCATATTTTAGAAAATTATTAATTGCGTAAATTCATTTTTCATTTCTACCAATACTAATCAGTAATATTATTCTGTTCGTTTGTCATATAGCAAAGCCACATTGGACTATCTGCTGTGTCCACCGCGGGGAATCCATCGCCCGGATTTTAGACTTGTAAGTCCGTAGACTTACCGCTGTTCCACCAGGTGACGTAATCGTATTCAAATTTAAAACAAACAAAACTTTGTACTGATTACAAAAAACAATCATCGTAATATTTACACTCCTATGCACATGCGTAGAAAAGTTGTGATAGACAAGGCCTTATTTTATACTTTAGTGACGTCAAGAGTAGCAAACAAGTATGAATACATAAATATCAAATAAGTAATCTTTCTTTGCCCAACCAACTAAAAGTAGGATTAACCAGCACATTATTACGCCCTCGCGGCTGAAAAGGCGAGCATGTTTGGTTGGACGGGGCTTCGAAACTGCGACCCTCACATTGCGGGTCGAGCGCCCTAACCACCTGGCCATGCCGGGCCTCTTATAAAAGAAAATAACGAATTGTGAGATCAGAGTTAACTTGTATAGAACTTGTTCATTTGGGTTAAAGTCTTTAGAATAAAAAAATGTATATATTAATGAAAATGTCTTCTAAAAAAAGATGAAACCTAGAGTATTTAAATAATATGGCGTTTTTTATTTATTTGTCTTAGCAGCTACTAGCTAGTGGAAATTATATCAATAGTTAGTAAATAAACCGCTTGGCTTAATTTTTATGCTCAGATTGATCTGAGTGAGTTGGACCAATGAAAATTAGTTTTACCATAGTGTATTGTTAGGTGGTTCTCTGGAACACACCTGATACGTGGTACATGTTATGTACACGTGGTACATGTTATGAGTGGTAATGCTTCAAAGAATCTTGCATCTTTTGGTAAAAGTTTCATCAAATGGATCTTGATGTAATGGTGTATCATCGTGGGTTTTCTGGAAGAAAAGAGACCGAACATGATTCGAGCTCCGATCCCTGATTACAATACCGTGATGTCGTTGCTAAGTCTGTTCTGTTTGCATTATAAATATACAAACTTCTTTCATGTCTGGCGAGGCCATGGATGATTCTCTTATGTTGATACCTCAGTAAGTCTTTACATCAGAAGTGAATACATACTACACTGGAGGCATGCTTTACTGACTAAAGTGTGGTCTCCTTTTAGTTGCTTTCATATACACTCTTCATAAAAAACAGAAGAGAGTGTTCTGTTCAACCGGTAATTAATTAAGAAGCGGGAAATGGGGATATATAAACGTATAAAACTGTGTAGGAAATTACGCGTAGTGGTTGTTGCAAAATATAAAAAGAAGTACGTTATAGGTCAAACCACTAAGGAGTTATTAATATATATAATTGTGGATACAAACGTTTCGGGCAATGCCCTTCTTCAGGTATCACTAACTGAACAGTAAATCCGTAAAATAAAACATTCGAAATCGAAGTTTCAATCAAGTTCATTGATGTAGATTGATAAGTGAGCACTTGTTTTATTTTTATAAATTAATGATAATATATATATTGTTAATACCATATGAGTTTCTCTGGGAGCCAGTGAAGCTGGAATGATTCCTCCAGAATGGTACAAGTACACCGAAGCAGTGAACCCACATTAAGGGGATCTTTACAGAACCCATGCCATTCAACTCACTGCATGTGCACCAAATCGACTCCGCTACATGCTAGGGTCATGTCGATTAATAGAGAGGACATCATACAGAGCCCGGGCTATGAAATATGATACCAAGCACACAGCTGCCAGGCCCGGTCCCACTGAATATTTCAAGAATAGTAGACCGCGATATAATGTTTTGTTTTGATAATTAAGAAACTGGTGTTTTCAAACTCAGACATCAATAACATATACAAATATCTGTAAGTTGTATAGTTGACAACACCTTACCTTCTATCATACACCAGTTTCAA